AAGGACCCAGAGACACCCAGGTGGCTACCCAGATTATTAGGGGTTACCTGAATCTGTCACCGAGTTCCTTTCGCCCCCTTCTGCGCGATGACATCAAGTGGAAATGGTACGCGTTTGAGAGGCAAGAGGCTGACAAGCAGGAAGCACAATTGAGCCCGAGCTTTGTTCAGCCTGCAGTGAAATACATGCAGTGAGGGTTAGACCCGCGCAGCGGAGAAAGAAATCCAAGCATCCTCCCGGCCAGCGGCGGCGGAGTGGGGGCACTGGGGAGGTGGGGACAGGCGGCGGAGGTGTGGAGGGCTGCGGAGGGGGCAGACGCTTCCTAATTGTCTCTACAGGATAAATAACCACCTCCCCCCACTCCTCTGCAGGATCCCCCGCCCCCAAGTTCTCCTCTGGTGGTAGCGCTTCTACTAGCAACTGGAATCCCTCAGAAATACGAGAAGGCGGAGGATAACGTCTTGGGGCAAATACACACTCGCAGTATTTACTAGGTACCCAGGCTCCATGGCAATGCGGGGCGCGTAGACACCCGCTCAGACAGACACGCCAGCGCTGCACTCGCGAGCATCCTTCTTTCTTTCAGTCGGCCCGCCACCTCGTCAAGTCACTGTCACTGTTTTGCCGATTTCTCTACTCTTTCCAAAACTGTGCCCGCTCCCGCCACCCACCCCCACCCTGGGCGGATCAGGGGACGCGGCTTCGTCCCACGAGTGCAGCCTGCTTTGTCCTGCCATTGCCCTTCCAGGAGCAAGCGCCCCAGGCGCGTGGGTCTGCACAAAAGACCCCCGACATCCAGCCGGCCACTGCGCCCTCTCCTCGCGGGAGGAGCCCCTGGGCCGCAGAGGGGCGCGCGAGGGCAACTTCGGCTGGGGAGGGCGCTCGCCCAGGGGCTTGCAGGAGGACCTACTCGGCTGTGTGCGGGGTGGGGGCGCAGTTGGGGCGCGCGCCGCGCGGGCACAAGACGAGCAGCTCCTTAGGACCAGAGCTCCAGGGGGCATCCGAGGACTCAGCCGAGCCGCCGACAGCGCCATCCCCCGCCGCCCGTACCCCAGCCGCCAGCCCCACTCCACCAGCGCTCCGGAGAAACGCAGCTCTAAGGACCACCAGCCCGCGCCCCCTCCCCCGGAAGCCC